TAAAAAAAAAAATCAGGTTTTTATATATAATTTTAACTTTTTTTTTATCTCTCTCTCTCTTAAAAAATCATCTGATTTTTGTCACATCCCTTACCCCAGATTAAAGCCTCTAGTCTACCACCAGAATGCCTTTATCCAGATATCTCAGATATCTCTAGTTCAACTTCTATTTACTTTCTACTTTATCCTTAACTCCCTAAAACAACTACTATATATAATTATCTTTCCTAAAAAGATTTAGACTACTTTGAATAGCCAGAATCAACAAATTTATTTGAACAAAGTTCTTTATCCCTATCCAAATAGACAAATCCTGAACAAATACTAAATTCAGATAGTTCAAATACTGAAAAAAAAGCAAATATAGGTAACTTGCAAGAAGCTGCTTGAGCTATGACCCAATTAGCAGAAGCTATTGGAGGAGGAGGAGAAGCAGAAAAATCTCTCATCAAGATTAAACCATTTAGAGAAGATGATACTGAAGGTCCTATTGACTGGATTAATGAATTTGAACAAGCTGCTACTGCTAATAACTGGAGTACTACTAAAAAACTTGCTATTACTAAAACCTACATATATGATAATGCAGAAGATTAGTTAAAAAGAACGGAAAAAATTCAACAATATGATACTGGTAATGATAATAATCAATTCAAAGTAAAATTCTTGAACAATTTATGACTATCAAGAAGCAAGCTATGTAGCAACAGGAATTTTTTGACCTAAAACAAGAAGCAAATACTGTAGATATCTATACTGCTCAGTTTTAGAAACTACAAAAGAAAATAAACCTAGACCCAGAGCATGTTTTCTCTAATTCTTTTATTGTTCAGCTTTTTATTAAAGGATTGTAATCTGAATATGCTATTTCTGTTTAAGTATCATCTCCAGAAAACTTAGATACTGCTATTACTACTACCAAACAATAGAAAACTAGAAGATTAATGATCTCAGCAGAAGATTCAATAATGAATACTGTTAATAATCTTACAAACCGCTTTGACAAATTAGCTATTAATATGGTTCAACAATAACCAGAACCTTAACCAAAACCTGTTTACATAGCTGAAAGAGAATCTGGTTTTTCTCATCAAACCAATTTTAGCCAAGATAGAGCTCTTTATTATTATTGTAAAAATCTAGAACATTTTATTGCTGACTATAGAAAAAGACATAATGATAACCAAAAAAACAAAAACAATGAGAGAAGAACTAACAATAATAATAATAGAAGAAATAATAATAACTGTTATAATAATAATAATAATAGAAAAAACAGAGATAGAAGTCAATCTCATGATAGAAATTATAGAGATAGAAGCCAATCTAGAGACAGAAATTACAGAAGCAGATTTAGAAACCGAAGTCAAGATAGATGAGAACCTAGATTTAATCGCTCATCATCATTCTATTACCAAAATGCTAACATGGCTGAAAAGCAATCTGTTTCTAATTCTAACAATTGAAAAAGATTGTTAGACAATTACTCTATTAGAACTGCTCTAACCACCTATATCACTGAAATCAATAGAGAAAATACTAAATATCAATCCATTAGTATCATTACCCCTGTTAAATACTATATTGATATCCAAAATCGTACTTACCCTGCTATTATTGATAGTAGAGCCTTTGTCAATATGATCTCATATCAAACTATAAAAGAACTAGGCTTTAAAATTAAGGAACTATCTAAAAGCCTTATTGTTGCTACTACTAGTACTACCTCTAAATCTCTTAAAATTATTAGAAATCTGCCTATTAGAATTCAAGATCGACTTATCCTCTTGAATGTAAAAGTTGTATCTGCCACCTCTTATTCTATTTTACTTGAAAACAATTAGTAGAAGCCAATTATAATTGGAAAACATGCCAATATACTCTCTATTAAAAAGAAAAGAAGATTATTCTTGATACTTCTTATGAGCAAAAAAAGCCTAAAAAAAAGAAACTAACCTGTACTACAGCTAAAGACTTTGAGTTATATAAGCAGGAATATCTAACACCCCATGAAGCTTATACATTTTCTGCATCCTCAGAAGATGAAGACCAAGGATGGACTACCTACCAACCTTGATGAAGAAAATCACTTTGCAAAACCTGTGGTCAAGCTAACCACCAGTACAAGAATTGTCCCAGAAATCAATATTATTATTGCAACAAATTTGGATATATACTTGTTAACTACCTCAACAAACATGAAAAGTCAAATAATTGTAGAACTTGTAGACAAACTGCTTACTTGTTCAAGGATTGTCTAGGCAACTAATACTATAGTTATAATGAATTTGGTTATATCGAAATTAACTGCCCTTTTGCCCAACTTAAACTTGACAATTTAACTTACAAATATGGTTGTAATAAAGACCAAATAGAAGAAAGAAGAATGATCTACTATAGTAGAAGGAGAACCCATCATTGCTGTAATTGTTGTACCCCTTAACAGCCTGACAAACTATACAAATTAGAAGAAAAACTTGCTTGTACTGCTTGTTACAAAACATACTATAAAGCTCTTGACCTAAAGAACCCCGGAAGCCAAGAATATTACAATACAGAGCTTGGTAGAGGAATCCTTGTCCGATGCAAACTTTGTAATATTCAGAAACCTAGAGCAAGAATATATAACATAGAAAGCATACGAGAAGAATTGTAGTTCTGTAAATTGAAATACATGTATGCTTATAAAATCTTTACAGACCTCCAATATAATCTAAACTATGAGATTTGGAACAGAATCAAATATTATACTGAGTTTATTAGAAATGCTAGATATCAGCATGATTTAAACCAGGATAGAATTTATCGTCTAGTTAAAGTTCTACTTGATAAAGAATATAAAAACATAGAAAAAGCTATAGAAGAGCAAGAAGATGATAGATATAATCGAGAATGGACCCCTGAAACAATTACTATCCTATTTGAGCAGAGCAAGCATTGCTTATAGAAGAAGAAGAGATCACTTTACAACAAATTCTAAATGAATCTTTTAATACCTCTCAACCTGACTTTGATACTTGCAAAGCAATTGAGAATTTAAGAAAGAATTTTAAAAAAAAAATAGCTCTTTGCCAAGAGTGCCTCTTTGCTAAACAAAGTACTGAACTAGAAGCTAACTAAGGTCTCTGTGATAAATATTATCAAGAGAAAAACAAACCTTCTCCTATTAAAGAAACAATTACAGAGAAAATACACCAAGATGATATTATTACTACAGATAGTCCATAGAAGAAATATACTATGATAATACTATTATAATAGAAAAACTTGAGATAAGTGAAGATATTATCTTTGAGAAGAGGAAGAATGAAGAAAAAGACCAAGTTATTGCTCGATTAGAAGCCAGAATCCAATACTTGAAAAAGAATTTTGAAAAGATGATAGAATTTTTTTAACAAATTCAACATTACTAAAAATGAGCTGAGTACTATACTCGTATAGCCTTCATATAGCAAAATTTTTAAACTATCCTAGGCAAGATAAAAAACTACCTGAAGATTTAGAAGAATTGCCAACAGAAACAGAAGCTTTACAACAGGCTTTGCAAGCTAATGCTCTTAAATACAATTTTATATATACTATAGATACTTTAATTCCTTATAAGGAATATATATTAGAAAAGACTAATACTGTAAATGTAGAACCACTTACAAAAGAACAAAGACAAGCATTCAAAACCTTGCTAGAAGAATTTGCTGATCTGTTTGCTAAAGATATTACAAAACTTGGCAGAACAGATAAAGTTAAACATAAAATCTATATGAAAGATATACTACCTATTAAACTACGACCTTACAATGTTCCTCCATATAAACAAGAATTTATCAAACAAGAAATTGAATGAATATTAGACAGCAATATTATCTAACCCTTAGAAAGCCCTTGGGCATCACTTGTTGTTCTAATATAGAAGAAAAATGAGAAGTTAAGATTCTGTATTGACTACAAAAAGCTTAACAATATTACTAAAAAAGATGTCTACCCACTATCTCGAATTCAAAAAATGCTGAATGCTCTCTCAGGATTACAATGGTTTTCAATCTTAGACTTAGCTAGTGGATACTGGCAAGTTATAATGGACTCTAAGAATAAAGAGAAAACTGCTTTTATTACAAAGTATGGTACTTATGAGTTTATTATAATGCTATTTAGATTGTACAATACTTCCGCTACTTTCCAATGACTTATAGACCAAGTTTACAAGAGAATTGTCTTGAAGTTTGTAGTTGTATATCTTGATGATATCAACATATATTCTCGAATATTTGAGGACCATTTAAAATATTTAAAGATTATATTTCAACGAATAAAAGATGCAGGATTAAAACTTAATCTTAAAAAATACAACTTTTGGATTAAGTCCCTATCTTTTCTTGGCTATATTATTAGCTTTAAAGAAATAGTCTCTGACTCTTCAAAAATTGAAACTGTTTGGAAGATTCAACCCCAAAGAATACTACCAAGTTACGATCTTTTCTTGGTTTGGTTAGATATTATCGACAATTTATTCAAAACTTTACTGCTATAGCCTGACCCTTGAACCAACTTCTTCATAAAGATAAACTCTATCATTGGGAAAACAAATAGCAAAAAGCATTTGATATTTTTAAAGAAAAGTTAACCTCTGCATCTATTCTAGCCTACTCTGATTTTAGAAAAAGATTTATTCTTACTACTGATATCTCTTATCATGGCTTTGGAGCCACTTTGAGTCAAAAAGATAGAGATAGAAAGGAATATCCTATTGCTTATGCTAGCAAAAGTTTAATAGTGGCAGAACAAAATTACTTTGCAATAAAGCTAGAATATGCTGCTATTGTATAGGCTACCAAACATTTTTATAGCTACTTAGAAGCTACTGAATTTACTCTTGTGACTGACCACCTTGTACTGAAATAGCTTAAAACTAT